GATTATTCTGATCTAAAAGAGTTTCCCAATTTAAAGATGAGAAGTTCTGTTTTAACTGAGAAATATATTTTCAAATGGGAAAATATCTTCTAAAAATTTTACATCCCGTGATAGAAATATTTTGGAACTCGTGGGTTCAAAGCACTGATGCGAATGATGAGTGATGGAGAATCCTAGATAAACACAAGGTTTTGAATATGGTGCTAATTTATTTTGGGTATATGGCCGGAGCCATGGGTAGCAAAGACAACCAAATGTAAGAAGGGAGTTTTCGGTAACTTGGTATCAAGTGTGCTTGTGGGTAGTCGGTTTATGAGATATGCTGCATGATGGCAGGCACATGTCCAAAAATTGGATGGTAAAGCAGCTTGATGAAGTAGCGTTTTGGCTGTCTCAATAAGGTGTCGATGGCGTCTTGTTTGCATAAAAGGGAAATCTGTGAGCTTTATTGCAGCAACAAGAATTACAATAAGTAAATTTGTCTTTCGAAGAATATGAAAGACTGGAACTTTTTAAAATAGAAAATAAAACTCGAGAATGGGGGTGGCCCAATCTTCGATGCCACAGATGTAAGGAAGGGCCAGCAATGGCGACGTTGATGGTAGGGCGAGACAGTGACGGCCATTCGTAGAGTCCTGCTTTATTCGGGCCACACAGAAGAGGTGTTCCCGTAGTCAGATCCTTCACAAAAAATTTAAAAGGAAAAAATTCTATTGAGGTCAGGTTGTCTTTGCAAAATTGAGAAACAGAAGTAAGCTTGCGCTTGATAGCTGGAGCACACAAAATATTAGAAAGTTTGAAGGCATTATTTGGCGGAGTTTATTTGAGTAATTCAATTGTTTGTAACAACAAAGTTTAACTATGCATATAGCACTCAAAAGGTTACTCAACTAAATTTTTTAAATTTTTGATTGTCAAATACCTATTTATCCTCTAAATTATCAATTTTGTTAACTTTTTAAATATTACTCCCTTCGTTCCAGTTTATGTAAACCTATTTCCTTTTTGGTCTGTTCAAAAAAGAATGACCCATTTCTAAATTTGGAAATAATTTTGCTTAAACTTACAATTCTACCCTTAATGAGAAGCTTTTATAACCACACAAATACTTTGGGCCCCATTTTGAATTGATTAGGACCACAAATTCCAAAAGTCTTCATTTTTTCTTAAATTTCGTGTCCAGTCAAACAAGTTCACATAAATTGAAACGAAGGGAGTATAGGTTTTTTCTCTTTTTAATCTACATTGTGGACTTACCTATAAAAAAATATATTTTATTTATAAAATAAAAAATTAGTTTTCAGCTCATATAATGGCGGAATAATAATATAATTGAGCATAATTTTCAACCATATATAATGTATATTATAAAAATATTTTTATTTAAATAATTATTTTTATATTACGTGCATGAAATATATATATTTTACAACCTTTATTTTCTTTCATTCTCAAATGTGTAAATAATTTTTTTAATTTTTGTTGTTAATACTAAAACTATTACCAACAAATTATTCTAATTAATTTTTTTACTATGCTCATTATTTTGTTATTCCAGCATTATATATGCTTAAATACTTTTTTATCTTTTTAATTTATAAATAAAATTTAATTTTTATATAGGTAAGTCCATAATATAAATTAAAAAGGGAAAAATCATAATATTAAAAAGTTAAAAAAATAAAAAGAAGATAAATGTCTATAATTTAAAGGGTAAAATAGGTATTTGACAATTAAAAATTTAAAAAATCTAGTTGAGTGAACTTCTGAGTGCTATAGGCATAGTTAAGTGACTTTGTTGTTACAAAAGAAAGAAAAGTTATTTTAACGGATAACTTGGGATAGTTGAGTGAGTAATGGACTCTTATTTGATGCATGTAAATGAGTAGTACCAGTTTGAGTAATAGGAATCTCATTACCATTACCCATTGTTACTTCCTCAATCCATTTGAAGTCTTGAACATTGTGAAGGGAAGTATTATCAGAAGTAATGTGATAGAGGCACCTGCGTCAGAATCCAGGGGTCACTTGGTGGTGTTTGTGCAACAAAATTTGCCTTTGCTTCAAAGTGGTTATGGGAACGTGAGCGGCACACATTTGTTGTATGGCCAAAGTGGTCGCATAGTTGACAGCGAACTCGTGGGGTTGAACAGATTGGTTAGGAAAGTTGCGCCAGTGGGGATTGGCGTTTTGATTGGACTGCTTATTTGGGGCACGCCAGTTGTAGTTACTGTTGGGTGGGCGTCGATTGTTGCGTGGAGCTGGTGAAGAATTCATGATGCGTTGAGCAACAACTGCTGTGACTTGTGTGGTAGTTTTCTTAAGGTCCTCATGTTTGAGAAATAGCTCATGATCAAGGAGCTTATCAAAAAGTTCCTCATAGCTGATTAGAGAGTCGCGTGCCCGTATGGTTGCGGAGATCTCACGAATCTCTGGGTCGAGCCCGCTTAGTATTTTCACCATTAGTTCTTCATTAGCGACAGGAGAACCTGCTGTGGCAAGTTAATCAGAGAGAGATCGAATCTCTCGCAGGTATTCAACAATCGATTTGGTGTCTTTGGTGACCCGACTAAGATGGTGACGAAGACTAAAGATGCGAGTTTGCGATTTGTTCGCAAAGGAAGTATGGAGTTGATCCCAGGCAGCTTTAGAGTTGGCTGCAGAAGCGACAATGGATGCAATAGTGGCATCAACAGAGGCCATTAGAGCATTTTGGATAAGTTTAGCTTGATGAAACCAATCCTTATACTCCGGGTTGGGCGTCTTATGGCTGTTGGTGGTGACTGTTTTCAGAGGAGATAGCGTAGAGCCATCAAGATAACCATAGAGGTCATGACCATGGAGTAGCATGGCAATTTGGGCCTTCCATGTAGTGAAATTATGACTGCCACACAATTTAATGGGTAACTGAGATGATGGCTTGAATTAGATTAAATGTTTGAACACAACGGTGTTGTCGGCATTAGCAACTGGTATAGAGGAACCCTTCTTTGCAGAGAAAAATAAAAAGGATCTTGGATAGTTTACTCGTTAGAGTATTGTTTTGGCTCTGATACCATATGAAGGAGAAAACTAGAATGAAAAATCTGTATATTTGATGAGCCTCCAATGAAGTTTATATAAAAAGAAAGTAACTAATTGTACTAAGCTAACTCATAGAAAGTAGGAAAATATAACCAGTACAAAAAACAAATTAAATGAAAAAGCTAAAATCCAGCGGATACTAAATCGTAGCCTAAAGTAACTGAACAAAGACCCATTCAAACCAAACAACAAGTGCTAAGATGTAACAGCAGTAGTACATGTGCTATTACCTTTTGGCTTATCTAAGTATTTGGTAAATACCCAAAGTGCTTATAAGCCAAGTGATTATAAGCTAAAATCAGCCATAAGTCATAAGTTGGTCCCCCCAACTTATGATTTTTTTTAGCTTATAAGCACTTTTAGTTTGACCAAGGCTTTTACTAGTTTATCCTTAATAATATTTTCTAATTCACAAAATATTTTTCCCAAAATAAATTTTCTAACTTTCTTTTCATTCCATATTCGTTGTTCATCTTTTTCTTTACAATTTTTTTTTTAATTTATAATCTTTTGTAATGTTTTTAAGGATGTTTTAGTCATTTTAATAAAAGAACAACTTATCAGCACTTTTCTACCAAACACATCAACTGATTATTATCAGTTTCAGCACGTCTATCCAAACACGTAAATATTTATTTAAAAAATTAGTTTCAACACTTAAAAATAATTTTCAGCACTTCAAGCTTAGCAACTATTTACAATCAGCTAATCCAAACGGGCTCTAACTCATTAGAAAAAAAAACTTAAAAGGAGTAGGAGAAGTAAGGACAGTCATTGCTAGATATTTTTAATATGAAAAAAACAATTTATTCCCATTAAAGGACTACAAATTTCAGTAAAATGGCAAGTTGTATAAAAAGTCAATCTAAAGTTACATAACAGGCAATATTTACTAGTTATGAATAGTCTCGAACAAATGGATATTCAATTTATTATAATTATGCCCAGACACTTTGCACCAGGTGAATTCTAGAAAATCAAGGAAAGAAAACATTATTCAACTGTAGAAATTAGAAGTTAGAAGTAATGAAAATTTGCATCAACTTTTCACAATATTCCAAATTTAATCTCAAAACAATAAACTCTGAGAAACCAAAAGAAAAGTAAAGCCAAATATGGAAACTACGTAACCTATAGGGAGTAACATCCTAATGAACCAATGCTATCAAATTGAAAGCCAATTACGGAAGTGAGCAAATAATTAGGTCGAAAAAAATGTAAGAGAAGAGATTGTACCCTGAAATCACCAGATAATTCAGCAAAAATGTCATCGATAAGGGACCTGTTGTAAAGTTGCTCATAGGTTTCTCTGATCTTCTTCCTCTGACTTGCATTTCTGTGACCCAACACCGATATTACTGACTTCTCATTCGTTCCCAGGCCTAAGCAAAACCACATAACAAATCTCTGTCTTTTATATCAATTAACAAAAAAATAAAACAGCTAATCTCTTTCTGTTCCATTTTTTTTTTAAAAATCCTTTTGTTTTCCCCAATCAAATTGCTACTAGGAGTAGTAATTTTTGTACATGGAACAACCAGTAGCTAATCTCTTTCTGCCTATCAGCACAGAATCAAAATTGCAACTAGCAGATTATATTTGCATTGAAAAGAAAAAGGAAGGAATTAAGGAAAAGAAGAGAGACCTTTGAAGGCTTTCACGAGAGTTTCACAGTCTTCAGTAGGAGAAGGAATTACATCTGGTATTCTCACTGTACCCATTTCTTCTCTTCCTCAGAAATTGCAAGTTTTGCTTTCTGTTTCTAACGCTTTCAGTTACTAGTATTTTTGTTTTGTAACGCTTTCAGCTATTTTTCCCTCCTTCATGAAAAAGAAGGGGCAAAATTGGAAATGAGGACTTTGTAGCTCACTGCCATTAATGCCCTTATCTTTGTTTGGACTGTAATACCCCCACGTTGAATTTTCACTTGCTCCAAATTTTTGCACTTCTCCTTTGGACGCGTAGCCTTTCCTTTTTTTTTTTTTTCTCCAATTCGATCAATTGCAAGAATGATATCAAAAAATATTTTTTCAAAATATAGTGACTATTCGATCCGAGCTGAAGAGAATTCTAAAAACTCCATGCTCTTTCGATTCTCTTTTGTCTACTATTTTACCACAAGTAGATCTTGCGAGTTAAGTGATTCATTCGAAGATATGAATAAGTCCCAAAAATACATTGAAAAGTAGACTAAGTCCCGTCATTATAATAATAGTAATATAGAATGTCATTTTCTATACTGTTTAAGGTATCGCCTCATTTTTTGTTAGCTCCATGTTTTTTTTTATACAAGAATTCACTAGTTTGACTAATTCTAATTCGTGTTATGTATAATCAATTAAAGGGTAAACGTTCCTTACCACGAGTTTTTTCATTTTAAGGGTTCGAATTCGAGAGTTTTCATTAAAAGCGGAGAGATTTCATCCGTAGTAGGTCAATAATATTTCAGCTATCTTCTAGTATTATTTCCATTTTGCCCAGATATCACCGGGTGAACATATCGTTTTCCTATCAGCCAAAAGTTTGGAGTTCATTTGTTGGCTGTTTGACGTAAAATGTTCTTTAATACTTATGTTGGTAAGAGCATTTCATCTGAAATAGTGTGAATGATTTGAATATTACACTTGAAAAGGAGAAAAAAATTTAGATTATTGTATTACATAAACAACTGTAGCATGGAGTGCGATATCATGATGAAGAGATAATTGCTATTCCCCGATTTCTTTATATTGTTTAATAATCATCTATTACCTCATACTCATTGTTCTGACTAATAATTTGGATTGGTGTCGCTTAAAGTCATTCAATGGAGAAAACGTTCCCTATTAAGAATTTCTCTATTCTTTGAACTCGAATGTGAGACCACTAATTAAGAATGAAGATATCTCATCCATCCACCACATCCCTTGACAGTATTATTCTCCTATTTCATTAGCAAGTAATTCCATTCCTACGTATTCATTATTCTGGGCCCTTGTCAACAATCATATGCTGATTTTCTAGTTCTTACAATGTATTTATTCCTTCTGTTTCGCCAAATTAAGGTACCTAAATTATCAAGTAACTAAAGTTTTTGATTAGACCAAATACTTCATAAACTGATCGATAGTCGAACCTCATAACTTTTACTCTTTAATCAGTTCGATTAAAGAAACTTAAAATTAATACCAAGTTTGAACAGCATACACGTAATATCGAGTCAAAGCTAGATGTACATAAATATAAAAGAAAACCAGAAAAGTACATTATCTCACCCAACGCGTTCTTTTTAATTGAAAGGAATGTGTCTAGCAACAATATAATATTAATGAACAATAAAATGCATAGTTGTGCCACAGTAGGGATTGCACCTACACGACTTTAATTAATGATAGAATAGACAATAATTACAATATTAATCGGAACACAATTACGTGCTTAACAGTTAACAACACATTGAGTAAAATCCTTCTAGTTGACTTCATAGCATCATACACATTGAGTAAAATCCTTCTAGTTGACTTCATAGCATCATACACATTGGAAGAGCAAAACAAATCAAATAATAATATTTTTTAAGGACGGGGCAAGCAATCGAATTGATTACATGTCACTTCTACATATGATCGGACAAATAAATAATTAAATGCTGGGAAAGGCCAAATCAAGCTTAGCTGTATAGAATCGTGGAAATAGATACTGAACATTTTCGATTTGTTCCAGAAAGTCTCTTATAATTTAAATTACATAATTTCTAGACTTACTTTGGAAAAATCTTAGAAATTTTTAATGAATAAAAATCTATGAGTTCAAGAATTACATGAAGCTACTAGCAATCAGTAGCCGCATAGTTAAAATGTAACTTTGATTTATTATATACCTAAACTAAATAAGGGAAATTAGGTCAATTAAATGAGAATAACAAAAACTATGACAATAGTATAACATAATTTTGTTTTGTTTTTTTCAATCATGACCCAACTAAATTGATTTGCGTTACTTAGAATCCAAGAAAGAAAAAATGCTCCTACCAAAAAAATAATTCATTCAATTGTGAAACTCGAAACATCTGGTTAAGAATGGATGGATCTTATCTACCCAAAAGGAGATTCAAAATTTTAAATTTATGGATTTCTATACGATCTCAAATTAATATACTATAATAATCAGATCAATAAACTAGATTTCGAGCTAAATATTCTTATATATTTAATGAATTTTTTAATATAAATACAGAATCTAGGTAAAAATTATTGGGTTCACGTGAATCCGTAACTTTTGCACTACATTATACCCACCACATACCTTGATTGTTTAAGACAATATAGTTTTTTTATAAATGAAAACAAACTAAGCTTAATTGTTGATGCACCTTTTTCTCACGGAATAGTTTAATTCAT